TTCTCCCATTCTCCATTGTTGTCCAATCCAATGCATACGAACGATTGCCCTGCTCCAGCCTAGCATGCCCATCATTCAACTTTCTTGATCCGATGAGATTTGACTGAAAAACGCTCAAACACAGAAACATCATCCAATATCAGAAGAATCAAATTGGTAAGTTATTTGTAAACCTGCCGGCTAATAGCCCATTCCTCCCATTCATCTTTGTTGCCCAAACCAATACATACGATCGATTGCCCTGCTCCAGCCCATCATTCCCATCATTTAACTTTCTTGATTCGAGGTAACCTGGTAGTAAAGGCAATGGCTGTTGTTGGATCATCATTATCATGTAAAGTGTAAAATGGTACACACCCTTTTGCTATACGTCAGAATCATTTCTTTTATTTGCGTGTACCTGTTGTCTATCGTGAGGGTGATGATCATGATGGGTGGATGGTGTATGTGGGGTCATTGATGGCCTCAGTGTAATAGCAGTAGGGGATTTAAACTTGGGGCCGGTAGCTCCACGACTTGAGACAACGCTTCTCTTCTCTTTCTCCCACCTTTCCTTATTCCATTCACGACATCTCGATCAAGGTAATGTATTATCAAAGAGTGCTCTTGTTGGCTGTGAGGTGTTAATGTAGTTCTGAACATGCATTGTCAGGGAGTGAGTGCGTCCAAGTGCTGAGGAATGAGCGTGGTTGCCATGGTGATATGGTTGCTTCCTTTTGCTCGTTGCTATTCCCGCTCTACGCTTGGTGTCAACAGGTACATTCAGAGTCCAATGTTGCAGCCGAATTGGTTCCATTGACGCGTCAGCTTGTATAGAGGGCAAGTTTGGTTTCAAGATGTTGGCTGGTTTGGCGTTTTGTTTCGGCTCAACTATACTACACCATGGTTTTCGGTTTCCAGTAACCAACAACAACGGGTCTTTGTGTATGAACAAAGGTATGTGCAGCGAACAAAGACAATGGAAAAGGCGTTTATTGTAATAATGAATGCTGCTATTATTGAATAGGTTCTTGGTCAGGTAGTGCAACTTTGGGCATCATCTCTCATTGGGTTCGACTCCCAGCCTGTACCTTTTGGCCACTTGATATAGCTATTAGAATACTGTTAGTGATGCTCATGAATGCGTAAAAAATATATAAATTATAAGGTGGCAAATTAGCTTCCATGGAAATCCATGTACTGACAAGGATGGCCACGCGAAGGCTTTGCCGTCACCCTCTCCCCTACGGTGCACCAAGCCGGATAATGGGGGCTGCCATTGTAAACAACAGCATCTTCTATAGGTGCTGCTCGAGCCAACATGTTCGGTCTGATAAAAGGATAGCATCCCACGCCCACAGAGGCCGACCCATAAGAGCGAAAAGCAATACATGATCCCATATCTACCACAAGGCCACTGAGTAACAGTCTAACTTCCAACGGCTAAGGCAGTAATCATCAAATGCAATTGATAGGGCCATGATAGGGCTGACCACACTGTCGCAAATGAATCATAGCTGCCAACGATGCTTTACACAAAAGAGTAAGACACCATCCCGTTCTACCCATAGCAAATAAACATCCGCCATATCAGTAGTAGCTGCCATCAAGCGACCTTCTTGGGTAGGCGTCATGAGAGACACATCATGCATTGCAACAAATAAATCCGGTCTTGATGAAATAGCACACATGAGAATGTTCACTTGTAAGAGAACGTCCAAGGTATCCCATACAAGTACTTGAGGAATGAGATCCGCCATGGCACCGATAAAAACGTTGCTCTGAAGATCCGCCGATAAAAAGACGACTTGCAGGTAGCTGATTTCCAAAACCATGGAAACGGTATCCTTGACAACCACAACTATAAGATAGAGATCGCTTGCTTGCTTCTGAGACACCCACTCAAATTCAAGTGTTGATCTTCGTCTTCCAATTCAATAGGACTCGCCATTGACAGCTGTAAGGAGAGACTTTGATGGCACCAAAGAGCATGCGAAATTATAGCTTGATGGAATGATGGGCCTATAAAACTGCATATCACTAATTTATCTTTGAGGTAATGGTAACAATACTTAGCCAGTGTCATATGAGAATCCACGATGTTTGATGCCACCCAGTAATCAGAACACATTTCCTTGCTGTAGAGATGTCGACACAGTGACCAATTCTGATAGCCGTTTCTCCAAGCGATACTTGATGATGAATGCCATGAGAGATGGATACACCTTGACAGCACCAAAAGGACACGTAACATTGTTGTTTGTTGCTGATGTGATACATCATAAGATACGTGCGGTGAAGGGGCTCTTGAAATCAATTGGTCAATAACGAGAACACCAGAGGATCAAATAAATGCTGTCGACACTAAAGATGTGGGCTCTGTTGTTCATTGCTGCTTCTTGTTTGTAGCTGATATGATCCACCAATAACAGGCATGCGTAGCAGGATATCCATTGAAAGGGTTGTCAACAACTAGGACCACAATAAGACGAGATAAAACTTGGCGACACCAAAAGGTATAGAACTTGTTGCCTTGCCGCTGATGCTTATAAAAGGAAGTGTCCAATAGGTGGTACAGTAACGAAACCATCGAACGATGTAATAAGGCAAGCTGACACTGAAGGATGCTGTCGACGTTGGTCTTTGACCCTGAAATGATTCATCTATAAAAGATGCACGGTAAACAGTTTCCCGAATCCATAGAACGATATTTAGCAATGCCAGCTGCATCCATGAATATTCCAAAGGACCAAAATACAAGTAGTTTGCTGAATAGCACACATACTATAATAAAAGAGGGGGTTGATTGGGATTCGAGCCAAAAAACGGATCATCCACTACTTACCAATGAAAGCCATATGAATAAAACCCTGTGGACATCCAATGATAGCTGCATCCATCAAGAATCCAAAGGAAACAAGACAAGTAGCTCGCTGAATAACCCACATGAAAGAGGGTGCTAGTAGGCATTGAGAGGAAGAATGGGTCATTATTTACCAATGACAGCTGCATCCATAGAAATCCCAATGCACTAGAAGACAAGTAGCTTGCTGAATAGCCCACATACTACAATAAAAGAGGAGGTTAGCAGGCGTTGAAGAAGAGAAGGGATCACTATTTACCAATGATAGCCATACGCACGAAAAAATGTCGACATCCAGTGACAGCTGCATCCACAGCAATCCCAATGAACCAGAAGACATGCAGCTTGCTGAATATCCCACATACTATAATAATAGAAGAGGGGTTTGGTTGGGATTGGAGCCAAAACACGGATCATCCACTATTTACCAATGATAGCCATATGCACGAAATCCTGCTGATATCCAAATCAAGCCGATTCTTTGCAATCGTCCGCTTGTTGATAAGGCCCGCTACGGTGGCACTCGGCTCGAAAGCGATGGAACGATACTTTATGGGCATATGCAGTGAGAAGATTGAGTAATATTGATACCACCAAAGAGAGCATACTTACATGATGCTGAAGAGCCCTTACAAAGAGAGACAATGAGACAATCCTTGCTGCCCAAGACCACATGCAAATCGAGAAAGCATTGTGCATCGAAAAGCTCAAACCAGATCCTAGCTGCGGAGTGACGTACATATGGCTAAAGAGCGATGTGAATGGCAATCGTTTTTCATTGGAAATCGAATGCAGCTTGACGATGAATGCCTTGAGGAGATGCATAAATGACCTTGGTAACACCAAAGATGTCAACGCGGACTCTCATTGCTTGTTGATGACATTATCCACCCATAAGACGCGTATAGTTGTAGAGATCCATCAAAGGAATTGCCGATAATCAGAACCACGAGATGATCGAAAGCTTGCTGACGCCAAAGGTATAAACCTGCTCCTTGTTGCTGACATGATCGATCGATATGGGACCTTTGTTTCAGGAGGTTCACCAAATTGCAGGTAATGGGAAGCACCAGATGGATGATGGGATGAGGGTTGATATGGCATCAAAGATATGCATGCTGTTGTTTGTTGCTGATACAATCCACTCATAAAAGACGTTCATTGGCTGACATTCTCCAGAGAAATCGCCCGTTGCTTGGTAACCAACCACCCGAGACACAATAAAGGTTGACACCACCAAAAGACATAAACGCTTCCCCATGGCTGACATGATTCACCTATAAAAGATGCACCATAAACAATTGTCCCAACTCATCCAACAATACTTAGCAATTCATAGCTGTGATCTTGTAAACGTCAAAGCACCAAAAGACAAGCAGCTCTCTGCAATGGTCCCTCTAAATAATGGTAGGCGTTTCAGCAAAGGTCTCCAAAAAGCATGAGAGTCCTACATACCTGAATCACGCAATCATCACCCGCAGACTTGGGAACCAAATAGGCCATCAGGATGTATAGTAATAATCAAAGCGCACAGCCAAAGAAACGTCATTGTACCGGTACTCTCCTGTGGATCGACGCGATGAAGTGCATCAATAGAGATACCATCTTCTCTCTAAAGGCAAGGAGATCAATAGCCGTAAAACGATGGAGCCGTGCGAACAGAGGATGCATTCTTAAATCCCTGGGCCGCAACATGAGTCGCACTGTCCCCGGGCACAACATGTAGAGCTCCACAGGAAAGTGTAGTACAATGACGTCCTTGACGTGCAGCCGTGATAATAATAGTATCGCCGAAAGAGGCTCTGCCACTGTAGGGTGTTTGGTAAGTTCACTTGAATCCAACCAATCCCATCATAATGAACACTCTTACCTTGTGGTATTCCTCAATAGCATCTTTGCCTCAAATAGAAACCGTCTCTCCATGCCATCCAGTAGGTGCTGCTGCTGTTTCACTGTAAGGCTCGTTAATTAACATGTTTTGCTTTGTACATCCAATGCCATGCATACCATTGAGCCAACGTACAGCATTCTTGCTTTGATATCAATGTCTTGTTGTTGCTGCCACAGGTACCATAAGCCAACGTATTCAAGCTACAGTAAATGCAATGTAAGGTAACAAGGATAGCATTCGCTGTTCATGTCGACATACCCAAGGTAACAATGTGTTGGGACGTCTCCTTGATGGCAACCATGAATAGAATACACACGACACACGACGGCCCCTTTGGATCTTGTATAAACGAGAGAACAGCAACCTACACGTGAACTTTAGTATCTCAATGTCCAACTTGAATAATAAAGTAATGCAGCGTTTGAACGTACATGTTGTATTGCAATGGAAGCTTGAGTCATGGGCAGATCGCGCGCGTACTTGCTGTTGAATGTCTGCAACTGGAAAGTGTCGCCATTGACCACATGTTCA